CTTTCTCAATACAACTTTGAAATTCACTTAATTTCACGGTCACGCTATAACTTAACAAACGCTATAATTCACAATGAACGACTTACGCGCTTGACTCAACTGTCCATATCTATCTCTGTCTGCTATTCAATTACACATCGTTGCCGTTACTTCTTGGCGGCTTATATACAAGAATACCGCATATCTAGTAAACACTCGAGACTTCAGGAAGGAACATGAACGTTCTAGAAGCTCATGACGTGTTACCAGAGTCACGTGACTTCCGCTGTCGTAACAGTATGATGTCGCAATTTCTGAAATTACACTTTCAGTTCTATATGTCACATGTATAATTAATGCGGCAGGAATAACATAATAACTTTACTTAGGAATGATAAAAACATCTTAAAATTGATACACATGCTCTTTGTGAACATCCTCATAGCTTGAATTAAAAACTTTGCAAATTTTCTGCAACGTTAACGAGGTATGGGCAATTAATCTTAATTAATGCCTGCGTTAGTGGTAATTAGACTCATAACAAAACAACTGGAAAATAATTTTGAATAAAAAAAATCAAGCTATGGAAGAGAGTGATATCAACAAGTGTGCTAAATTTCATGCTGATATTGACTTTAATGGTGAAGTTATCATGCTAATAAATTGGTGACCCCAGTGAAACTGCATTTTGAGTAAATAGCCGTTAAAGTTTTTCTGCATTTATATGTCTGTAAGCTTTTACTACCGGTTAAATAGTAACTATTTTAAGACAAAAATTAGTTATTCATGAAGGAAAGAGTTTAATCTTTCGACTTAGGCTAAATTTGAAAAATGTGATTTTTGAAATATCGGGGCGCTCTTTAAAGGTCAGTGCTACCTTAAACTAACATAAAAAATACAATTGTTACCATATAAAATATTGAACAAAGACAAATCGACGAAGCTTGGCTGAACTGTACACGTCCCCTAGCGTAAGACGAGCTGCATTTCCTGACGATTTGACAACATTTTGGGCGTTCTGAATCTGCAAACGGAAACTAGGACATAAAGTAACACCGTTGAAATGGCCCAGTCTCTCAATTTGGTTTTCTGCAGAAAGAGTTCTTCCATTTGTTATAAGCCAAGGAATCGACAAAGGTAACAGCCTATGACAAAAAAAAATAAACACACAAAACATTAAATTATATTTACGAATACTTAATAATTAATATAAAATTTCTGTCAACATAGTATTTAAAAGGGAACATCTATATATTTTTATAAGGTGTTTAGAAAAGCTTCCATCTAGTCTTTCACTGCTAAATTAGCGACGGCTAGCGCAGATAGCCTTCGTGTAGCTTTGCACGAAATTCAAAACAAGCAAATAAACTGTTACACGGGTATAGCTATATACAGGGGTTTGAGTATATTATAGCAGAACGATTTTGAACATGCAAACCAGAAAGTCACGCAAGAAACACAACTGATATGAAATCGCAGAACTACATTTTAACATCTTTGGTGTTTCATCAATAGTGTGATGCCACCAAAAAATTAATAGCCCTTCCCGAAGCAGAAAGAGACCTGAAACAAATCGTACCACATCCATGGTAAGGAAATTACGGAGCCCTGTAACAGGTGATGTAACGAATTTATTGTTATGTATTTATTTTTAATATGAACGTTGTTTAGATTAAACTTGTATTCAAAAATATCCGGAACTTATAGTGTCAGATATGTATTGAGTGTAACGAATTTGTTATATATTTATTTTAATGACAACGTTTGTTGGGATTGAGTTTATAAGTAAAAACATGCCTAGCTTACAGTGTTAGTTACGTATGGCGAAATTTCCGTCAATTCTCCAAGGTTGTATAATATATTTATATTAAAACGTATTTGTGTCAAAAACAAAAACGGTGTGAATCAATCGTGTTGGCAAATAGCGTAAATTAAATAAAATATCGGCATATTTCTAGACACTAAATCTAGGGTACAATTCAACTATTATTATTTCAAATTCTCAATACGTAACAGTGAAAATTCACGAACAGAATGATATTTTTCAAAAGTCGTCTACGTGTCCCAACAACAGTACACAACATAATTAAGAAAGATCACCGTTTGGAAAAGCAACAAAAATCACATGCATAAGTTCTTTCCTTGAGATATCCATTTACCGTCGTATACCTCAAGCATTGAAAGAATCAAACACGAGTGCAGCGCCAATGGATTTTTGTGTGATCAAACAGTTGAAACAGGTTCTAAGAAACCGTCTTCCTCCTAGACTAGGTGAATTATGGAAAGCCAGCAGGAAGAATTGGTGTGCTTTGGACATGCCAGATTTACGGTGAAGTCTTTTGTAATGAAACTAAGCCACAGGTATATTATCAAGATGCACTGTTGGCAGATAGAACATGAATGGACGTGGTTTTAACGACGTGGTGGGGACCAAAAGTCGATTTCATATAACGTACTCAACCTTCGTCCTCCTTTTATTATATAGTACAAAATAATATGAATAAGTTGTTAAAACGTTGATTTCTGTAAAGTTTTATAAGGTAATATGAAAAATTCAATTGAGTTGGCTATAATTAATTCTCATAGGTCTAAGAATCGTGGACATGAGGTAGCAAAGTGAACGAAATATGTTATTCTAGTTTCGAAATACGTTGGAGGAAAGCGCAGGTCTGAAAAGACGATGATTTAACAATCGTATAGGCATGTAATTAAAGAATGGGCGTCAGCCTGATATTTCTTTCAAGTAAAGTTAAACATTCATAACGTAGTTATAGCAAAGGTTCACTGGTTTCGGTACCAGTGTTAGCATTAAACTTACAACATAATCCACCTAAGTAAAATGCTCTTTTTTCAATCTGAATGTAGGAAGTAACAAAAATCTCCCCGTGCTAAAAAAAAAAGGCTCGTGTATATTCGATTATTTATTCCGTTTAGTCAATATCTGTTCGGGCATCCATGATTATTGTTTTTACTTACAGTACGAAGTCCATTGGTAACTGTTTTACAAATGTTCGTTTGTATTTTTAATCTACACAAAGAGTTATTCCTCATTTGAAAATGGCGAACTACGGTAAAGTCAACAACACCTACTGCCAACTCTTGGGCTACTCTATTCGAATAATAGGATTTGGCTGTCATTCTTATAACACACCCAAAATGTAGAATACATTTTCTGCGGCAATGGGACGCGAACCGTGAACCCTGGGATTTACAATCCTAGCACACCAAGTATTAACCCACGCCTGGTCTATTTTATAACTAACTAGCTGTGTATTCAGTTTACAATAAAACGTTCAACTGTGAATCTGTAAAAGTGCTAATAGAAATAAATTTAAAGTCCTAATATCAATTCTGGGATCATTAGGTGTCGTTTATGTCTTTTGATGCAAATAATGTATTTCTTTAAGATGTATTATTAATGTATAAGAAATAGTTCTAACATTTTAATCGCGGACACAGATATCTTTGTGCGAATATTTCAGGATATATATGATTCTCATAAAACAAGTAGAAAAACAAAGGAAGTATTTAATTATTATTATATGTTAAAAAAAAAGAGCAAAAATGAAGAACAATGTAATTCAACTCACCAGAAATAGGTTACGGAGACAACGCCAGGTACAGATATGGCTAGTTGAATATACCGCCAGTGTTGTATTAAATACGCCACCAGGGTGAGTGCTAATGTCCCAGCGGCCCAGAATGAACCAACCAAAACGGCAAGACGAAGATGGTAAGGTGTAGGAACTGTTTCCATAAGCAAAACATAGGATATACACTGTACTCCCTGGGAATAGACAAAAACAAGTAACAGACATAAAAAGCATGTATACAATTGTTAATAATTATGGACGATGATCTTAGCCACTTGAGTCATTTGTAAATTTCTAAAAAAAAAACATTAAAGCTTAAGCCTTGGGAGTTTTAATGAAAACGTTGTCTTTTGAAAAGTTTAGATTTAATATATTTTGTACACCGCTACATTTATCCACAAACTATACTTAAGGTCCATAATTTTCTCTTGATCGACCAGTTGAAGTTCAACATAATAAAGGCATTGAGCATTTAAGTTGCGAAATCATCTCTCCACCTCCCCCCTCAAAGCTACATTGAGAAATTTAACGACGTAAAATGCCAAAAATAATGTAGGTCCGTTATGTGAAAAGTATTACAGCCAGTAAGGATTAGAACCGGTGGACAAGATAAACATTTTCATCGTGAAAATCTTTATAAAGAAAACATAATAATTGCTAATATAGAAATATAATAAAGTGTGAAATTACTTAACTACTTAATCTAGTAATTCTAGTTCACACCATTACAGTTGTTGTTATTCATACATATTATTACAACAGCGGAAGTCACGTGACGCTGGTAACACGTAATGAGT